TGTCTGGCATCTATGCATCTTAGCAATCCAAGATCTGGAGTTCTTTTGTATAACACCCCTCCACTGAATAAAAATCCACTTGCCAATCATCGAATTATTCTTTTCTGATCACATGTGGCCTGTACCGGATATACCCTCATCCTGATGTATTCTTTGATATCATGGAACCATGGATCCCCATCAAGTTCTTCTTCTACCATATTACAGTAAGCATGTTAGCATGTTGATCACGGACCTGAATCTGCAAAGGGTCCACATAAGCCTTATCTGGATGATGTAACATTGACGCCAGAGTAGCCAAAGCATTGGCAACTTCATTATGGATCCTTGGGATATGCCTTAATTCTATTGACTAAAACCGCTGGCAAAGATCATGCAAGCATTGCCGGTAGGTATGAGTTTTAAATCCCGTGTTTCCCATTCTCCCTGAATCTGGTGTACCAGCAGGTCCGAGTCACCCAAGACCAAGACTTCCTGGACACCCATATCCACAGCCATCCTCAAACCTAAAATGCATCCCTCGTATTCCGCCATGTTATTAGTACAGTAGAACCGAATCTGAGCCGTAACAGGGTAATGATGCCTTGTTTCAGAGACAGGTACCGCTCTTATCCCAACGCCTTTCATGTTAGCATCCCCATCAAAGAAAAGTTTCCATCCTGGCCTTTCAATTTATTCCAACTCCTCAATGTGCATTACCTCTTCATCAGGGAAGTAAGTCTTCAAAGGTTCGTATTCTTCATCCACAGGATTCTCAGCCAAGTGGTCGGCCAATGCTTGTGCTTTCATCGCGGTCCGAGTCACGTAGACAATGTCAAATTCTGTGAGCAAGATCTGCCACTTTGCGAGCCTTCCCGTGGGCATAGGCTTTTGGAAGATATACTTCAACGGATCCAAGTGAGAAATGAGGTAAGTAGTATAAGAGGACAAATAATGTTTCAACTTCTGGGCTACCCAAGTTAAGACGCAACACGTCCTCTCAAGCTGAGTGTACTTAACCTCGTAAGATGTGAACTTCTTGCTAAGATAATATATGGCTTGCTCCTTCCTGCCAGTGACGTCATGTTGACCCAATACACAGCCGAATGAATTGTCCAAAACCGTCAAATATAGAATCAAAGGTTGCCCTGGTTCTGGCGGGACCAACACGGGTGGACTTGACAAGTACCCTTTTATCTTATCAAAGGCTTCCTAACATTCATCTGTCCACTTGACCGCAGCATCTTTCTTTAACAGTTTGAAGATTGGCTCACAGGTTGTAGTGAGCTGAGAAATAAATCGGCTGATGTAATTCAATCTTCCCAACAGACTCATCACCTCGGTCTTGTTCCTCGGAGGTGGAAATTCCTGGATGGCCTTGAATTTCGATGGATCCAGTTCAATGCCCTGACGGCTAACTACAAACCCCAACAACTTTCTAGATGGCACCCCAAAAGCACACTTTGCAGGATTAAGCTTGAGATTGTACCTGCGAAGCCTTTGGAAGAACTTCCTTAGATCCCTGACATGGTCAGACTGCTTTCTAGACTTCACGATCACATCATCCACGTATACCTTGATTTCCTGGTGTATCATATCATGGAATAATGTTGTCATTGCCCTCATGTAGGTTGCCCCAGCATTCTTCAAGACAAATGGCATGACCCGACAGCAGTACGTTCCTCACGGCGTAATGAATTCCGTCTTTTCTGCATCTTCCTCATCCATTAAGATCTGATGATAACCCGCGTAATAATCCACAAAAGAACCAATCTCATGTTTGGCACAATTATCAATCAAGATATGGATGTTCGGCAATGGGAAATTGTCTTTTGGACTCGCCTTGTTGAGATCCCGGTAGTCAACACACACCCTAGTCTTGCCATCCTTCTTCGGCACAAGCACAACATTGGCTAACCAGGTGGGATACCGGGTGACCCGAATAACTTTGGCATCAAACTGCTTGGTGACCTCTTCTTTGATCTTTACACTCATATCCGTTTTGAACTTTCTCAGTTTTTGTTTGACAGGAGGGAATGCCGGGTCAGTGGGTAACTTGTGAACCACTAAATCAGTGCTTAGACCCGGCATGTCGTCATAGGACCATGCAAAAACATCTTT